TACGCCGGGGGCCGGGCCTGTGCCCCGCTTGTCCTGTGGCTGGGAAGGTGGGGCAGCTGTGGTGTTTTGTCTTTTAATCCCTGAGCTGAGTAGAGAGGTGAATAGGCCTTGTAAGGCATGTGAAAGCTTGATGCTGCCTTTAAAAAAAAAAAAAAAAAAAAAAAGAAAGCATCGAGCCTCATCTGGAGTGCTTTGTCCAATTCTGGGCCCCCCAGTCCAAGAGAGGGATGGCACTCCCGGAGAGAGTCCAGCAGAGGGCTATGAAGATGGTGAGGGGACTGGAGCATCTCTCCTAGGAAGAAAGGCTGAGAGAGCTGGACCTGTTTAGCCTGCAGAAGAGAAGACTGAGAGGGGATCTCATCAATGTCTGCAAGTATATGAAGCGGGGGTGTCGCGAGGATGGGGCCAGACTCTTCTCCATGGTGCCCAGCAACAGGACAAGAGGCAATGGGCAGAAACTGAAACACAGGAAGGTCCATCTGAACATGAGGAACAACTTGTTTCCTGTGAGGGTGACAGAGCACTGGAACGGGTTGCCCAGAGAGGTGGTGGAGTCTCCTTCCCTGGAGATATTCAAAACCTGCCTGGACGCGATCCTGGGCAATGTGCTCTAGAGGACCCTGCTTGAGCAGGGGGGTTGGACTAGATGATCTCCAGAGGTCCCTTCCAACCTCAACCGTTCTGTGATTCTGTGCTAGCTGATTCGGCTGCTGAATCAGAAAGTGGCCTCTAAATGGAGAAGGAGAGAAAACTGATGAAATTACTCATTTAAAAGACTGGTGAAACTGCTAGTGTTGCTTTCCTACAAACAATATTAAAATATTGAAAAAATCTTGGTTATGGGAAGAATGCACTCATATTTTTGGATATAGAGTTTCTGAGACTTTCTTCATGACTTCCAGTTTTCCTTGTCGGAATTGTGCTTCAGCTGAATTATTGCGTGGGAGTATCCAAGGGGGAAATACATAGAACAGCTCCAGGAGCAAGTATGGTATTTTGAAGTTATTTTCAACCACAAAAAAACATATTTCTCTTTTCCTCTGTCCTCTAAAACATGGTTCAGTTTTCTCTTTAAGGGATTTGATTATTTTACACTACCTTGGATCCTAGCAGGGATTGATAGTACTGATGATTCTTTTCTGCTTCAGTCAAAAAATATTGGACGTTGTTTTTTTGTTACTGCTAAGACACTTAAAAAAGCCAACAAACCTGCACTTAAAAGCACACAAATCCCCCAAATTAAAGTTTTTCTTATGGTCTCATCATCTCTTGATGGTGAATTTTTAAAATTAGAATTTAAAAAATAGATACTGGTTTCCTTAAGATACCTTCCATATTTAGATAATCACAGTGAATTTGAAAATTAATGATGTCAAAAAGTGGTTTTAAACATTGCTTTAAATAATGAAGTGAGACAGAAGAAAATTTATTGAAGGAAGTATTTTTCTTTTGAAAGTTAAAGCTTAAGGTAGAAGATACGTTGAATTTTTAAGGTCAGGCATAGTTCTGTTTCGTGAGTAAATTTGCTGTTTGGATAACCTTCCTGCTTTTCCAAACTAATAGAATTGCTGCCTTTGCGATACAACTACCACCATTTTATCTTTCAACCTAATTTCTTAAGATCTCTTGTTTCAGAAAGCTAATCTGTCTTACATCTGTTTTATTAGTAAGTTGTGTGTTATAGAGTAAGTATAAATTTTAAGGTTTATATTTTTCCAAAACATGCCTAGATTTCATAGGCTCATAAGATGAACAGAGCCAATGTCTTCAAAATTACTGAACCACTTTTATTATCACTCTGCAGTCTGTTCTTTTACCTAGACTACGTTTTAGAAAGATCAGTGTATAAAATTATTTTATTTGCATTACCTGTCAGTGGTAGCATATAAATATTTACAAAATACTTGCGTCTCAGCTTAAAAGGTGATTGACTTATGGAACAATAATTTTCTGGATTTTCTCATTCAGAAAATGTCTTGCTATATTGGTTCTGCAGTAAATAGGCTTTTCATTTTAAAGATGTTTTGTGACTCCATCTCAAGCAAATCTTTCTCTTTTTAAAAAAAAAAAACCATTTTTAAATATAACAAAGACTGTGCTTTTCATCTATCCATAGAGAATGCATGATATATTCTTCTGCTTCCAGTCAAGTTTAACAAAAGTTACTGGGGATGAAGGACGTGGGCCCCTTATTTTTGGGCCCAAAGCTCCTCCGCCAAAATTTGAAATGTGAAATGACATAGGAAGAGAAAATTTGGGACTCATTATAACATTTTCATTACTGTGCTCTTTCTCATGACCATTATCTAATGGTAGAGTTTGTAGAAATATCTTGGTTGAATGTAAGAAAAACTTTGTTTAGAATCACTTTATTATAATAATCACTTATGCACTTTATTTTGTTGACTCTTAATTTTTTCCTTTCTTATTGTTTTGAATTACTCTTGTCGTGTTTCAAGCTTAATTTATAATTGTCAGAAACTCAGGAAGCAGCGTAATTGCAAAACTAGTTAGACTTGTTCTGTGAATGAATTTGGCAAAAACAACCCTTAGTGCCAATTATTTTTTGCCTTCATGAAACTTTCGTTTTAATTTAAAGTGCATTTCAACTGTATGTTGGTAAGGAAATAATAGTCCTGATGAAATGAGAATTAAAACAAATTTGATTATTATTTCTGTACTTGTTGTCCGGTGACATTCCTGTGATCAGATGTGCCCTCCTATGCATACTAAATTAAACTGAGCACCTGTGAGATACTTCTTGGTGGCAGGCAAGAAGTAATATATTTCCTATGTTCAGTTATATCGTTCTTTTAAGCTACTGGAAGTATTCTTTTATCTTGCTTGAAGTTCAACAGATGCACAAGTTATTTGTAAATAATTGGTTTTAAATGTGAATTCTTGATTATTCTTTGCATTAGAGCTTGGTCTGGGTTCTGAAATACCAAACTGCTGCTGTTTTTTTCATTTTAAGCCTCTGTCATCGTGACTGGGTAGTCTTATAAATATAAATGACTCCCTTTGCCTCTCAACCTGCTTAATTATGATGACCTCACTATGTTGTGGCTTTTGGCCTGCAAGTTAACTTTCTGTGTTCTATTTATGAATGGAAGTGGAAGAAATATAACATTCTTAGTTTTCTTTTGTCTTGTCTGTCTTTACCTCACAAAAGATGTGTCTAAATAAGATAAAACTTTAAAAAAAAATTACAGCATAATGTGCAGGTTTTGGCAATTGGTAGTAATATTTGGAGGACTGTCTGCTGGAAGGACAGATAAAGCTTCTTCACGAGCTACCTGTGCTATTATCTGCATTTTCATTTGCTTTGTAGACAGATTCCAAGAAGAGCATTGATAGAAAATTTTATATGTTCAAATGCAGAGTTTTGGAGTTATTTTTTACTCCCAGAAGTGACGTGTACTCTCATGTTTCTCAGGGAGTTCGTATCTTCATATGCCATTTGTAAGTAAAGAATAAATCACTGAAACAAACCTTTACTGGGGTCTAAATGTTAGTGTTAACTGTGTGCAGTGAAATTAGTCCAAAGAAATGTACGGCTGTTCTATTGTAATTCAAGGGAGATTGTTTGTTTTCAGGATCATTGTTATAGGTGCATGATTGTACAAAAGTGTTGGAAGAATCTATACAGATGAGCACCCTGGAGAAGATGTCTTGCTGTTCCTAAGTTCAGGTCTGAATTTGTAAGGCTGGCCCTTGAAGAGAAATGGAACATAATTTCAGTTTTTACTAGCCTGTAAACTATACCAGTTTTAGTCACCTTTCAAAGCAGAACTGTGTGCTGACTGCTCATGTTATGGCAAAAAGACTACCTTATTATACTTCTACTGAACTTTTCTAGAATTGCTTTGGAAAATAAAGCATATGAATTTTATAGTTCTGTGTCTGAATTGAGCTTAGTGTTGTATTCAGAGTACGCAGTCAGGTAATACAGCTTCTGTTCCAGTATGAATATTGTGCTGCCCGTGAGACTATTAAAATTTATAGTGAGCTTCTATTATTTACACTCTAATGAAAGACCCTAAATGACTTGTAGGGTATGGTTGCTTTGATATCTGTACCTCTTTCGAAGTAGATTAAAAGCACTACATTATGTCTTTTGTTCTTTATCCTCTATTATCTAGTGCTTTTGACTTCAACAAAAGCCTAAAACCAGAAAACCTAAAAACCAGAACTGAATATTAAATGCAAATGTCTTGTCACTGTTGTCATCAATGCCTGTTTGGTTAAGCTCATGAGAAAGGTGACATGGTACCCAGTTTGGGATTTCTCTTCACACGTGTGGCTTCTTGTATTTAAATGCTGTGTTTGATTAATACTAAACATTCAAGGAACCCTTACTGATGCTGGAAAAGGAATAAGAAATTGAAACTACTAAAAGCAAAAACTAATGTTCCTGTATAAGAGTACTTTATTTTTAGTCCCAGCAAGTCCCAACTGACTTGAAAAATTACTACTTTATTTTCTGGATAGATAGTAAAGAATTAGTAGTGACACTGAGAGGAGAAAAGCAGTGGTGCAGCCTCTAGCATGAAGCTACTGAGTTGTGGAGTACCTAAAGCTTCTGGAAATAGAAGACCTGCCTGGAAAAGATGCAGGATCCCTGAGAAAGGTTCTGTGCGCTTGGCTTGTGGATGTCTCAAAATCTGCAGCCATGGAGTGTATGGCTTGATCTTTGATGTTTCTGCTTGTTCTTTTCCGGCTCGTCATTCATATAGAGTGATCTTTTACTACCAAAATACGGGATGGCATATTTCTTTGTATTTTGAGATACTTCCTGAAAAAAGTGTTAGTTTGAGCCACAGATAACGGTATTAGTTTCACTTGATTATCTTTCCTCTCAGGAAGACTTTTTTCTTTTTTTCTTTTTATTTTGCATGGCATATCAAACTGCATGATACTTTTAAAAAATAAACACTATGTACTTTTTTTTTTTTCTTTAATAGGTCTCTTGTAGTTGTCCATTTCTGGGCACCATGGGCTCCTCAGTGTGCTCAAATGAATGAGGTTATGGCGGCACTAGCAAAGGAACATGTGCAGGTTACATTTGTGAAGGTAAGTCTTTGTTACCAGACAGTAAGTCCTATTTTAAACAAAGGATAGACAGATGTTGGAGAGCTGTTATTACAAAATATGAATGAAGTTGCGTTTCAAGTTCCTTTCTGGCTTTGTGTTTGAAGATGTGAGTTGAGCACGTGCAAGATGCTTCAAAAAATCTATAGGATTAAGTTCTAGATTCATCTTTCCAAGCTCGATATTGCAAACTTAAATAATGCCTTCATTTTTACATTGCTGTTTTTAAAAAACAACAAAAAAAAAGTCAGTCTACTAAGATACGGTGAAGGCACTTCTTTCAGTAGCTACTTCATCTAACAAATAGGCTTTTAAATTTCCCTATTCCGGCAATGACTCAGTACTTCAGTACTGTAGTTAGCCATGTTGTTAAAGCCTGATTTTTGTCCAGGGATTTGAGATTACAATGGCAACACTGTTCTTTTTCAAGTCTGTTAGAGATTTCATTTGTTCTCATGATGTTACTGGTTAGTCAAGTAGATCTTGGGATTCATTTCTGCCTATTACTAAAGAGCGGTAGTCTTTATGGATTTTAAAGGTAGATAGTCTGTGCAGTGTTGTCACTCGAGGGTGTAAGTGGTATAATGCTAGATGGTATAAGCCCAAATGAGATGCTATATTTTTGTGAGATCCTCTTCATATGCTAGTAAGAGGGCTAGTGTGGAGGGAAAAATGAATGCACTTCATCATCATGCTGTTCATTTTAAAACAACTTTCCCTTGTTAATGAGACACTTCTGTGATTATGAGGGCAGGGAGTAATAGAACAGCCAGCTGTGTGTGTGTGTTTTAATTTGATTTCTTACAGCCTTTAGGTTTTGTGATTTGTTTTTAATGATTCCTCTCACAGTTGGTGTTTTTTCTGTAAAATGGAAGGATGAATCTATTTTAATTGTATTAATTTACAAAACTATTTTAATTAGTGTGTCCAAAAACGGACAACATAGATGTTCAACATTAGAAAATAGAGATGTTTGATATTTGTTTGTATAGAGTTGCTGTAACTTTTAGTAGGCCAAAGAAAGCTTGAAACTTCTCAACTGCTTCTTTATTATTCAGCAGGTTTTTTTTTATTTATTTATTTTTTAATAACAAAGTTCTGTATTCAGTGGTCAAGCACTGCAAAACTAAGATAATGGTATCTTCTCCCCTCACCCCTGCCAAAAGCATGCTCATTCAGAGAAGAAAACTTTTTTTTTTTTTCCGCCCAAGAGGAAATATCTTTTAATTTTGAACGTACTCAGCGTGCGGAACTTTGATCTGTATTCCAGAATAGCCAGATCCTGACTTTTTTACTGGCAAGAACCTGGTAACTTATCAGACAGTTACAGATGACTAACCAGGAGCAGTGTACTACCTTGCAAGGCATAAATAGGTGGATTCTAGAATAGAACTAATTAGCATGTACTGAACTTCAAAAAGTGGTTAATGAATCTTTCTGAATAGAATTTCCCATTTCAGTTGTTGCATTTAGTTGTTGCATATCTTAATTCTAAGATCCTTGACTTGATTAGAAGGAAAGTGTTTTTATCCAAAAAATGGTTAGGAACAGTGTGTCCTGGAAAGATGTACCAATAGCAGTAAGTTACTGAAATAGGAAGTGAAGTCTGTTCTGTATGCATCCACCTCATCAGAGTGGAACATAAGTATCTAGGTAGATAGGAAGTTTTACTAAAAGATTAGTATATTTAGTATGTTTTGTTTATCATCTTTTGCCACTGGAAAGCAAGTAGATAACTGGAATTCTACATAGTAGACAGTTTCTCAGTTGATCCTGGTGGAGCATTGATTTATGGGAATCGAGGTGAAGCTTGGACTTTTAGTTTTGAGTTGATCACTGGGTTGCTTCTGTGTTCAGTGAGCTCATTAAGAGCCTTAATCGTTGGAGTGAATCAAAACATAACATTATAATACTAAAAGATTCAGAGACTCACTATATCTCAGGTAACAGAACAATCGCAGGTTGTATTTTCTAAATAGGTAAGTAAGGATGAACAGGGGAGAGCAGGAGCAAACTGTTAAGTAGCTCTGTAGGTGCTGGTTGATAAATTGTTGTTGTTTGTGGATTAAGAGTTTGAAAATCTTTTTTTTTTTCTGTACACTGGATTACAGGTTTCTGTGCATTAGTCTGAAACATTTATATCCATTATAGCCACTTTATTTTACTGCTAACTACTGGTGTTACAGAGCTAGCAATTTAAACAGCCTTGTGCTCTGTCACTAAAATAAGCTTCTAGGCTCTGCATAGAAAATCATAAATTTGATTAAATTAATAGATTACTATTTTCACGGTAAATTTCATTATAGAATGAAATAGAATAGATATAGAATTTCATTGTAGAATTTCAAGGTAAGCATTTGAGGGCTGAATAAACTCAGAACCAATAATCTAAACAAGCTTTCCACTCAATACTCAGTAGCCTTTCAGGAGTTAAAAATAAAATTTACTAGGCATCAATAGTTTATTGAAGAAACACTCCTTTTGCTTCATAATTTGCAGAAGGCTGCAAATGTCGGTCATGATGTACTGCCCCTTGAAATTAGTCAATAGAGCAAACAGCAAGAATTGCTGTGGGCAGAAAATAAGCACTGTAATCATGACATAACTGGGGTCAATGATTTATGGATTTCAATATAGTAGTAGCTGCATATGATTGAAAATTTACTAGGTCACTAGTGCACCAAAAATTTTATTCGCCGCCTCTAGGCATCTTTTGAAATGTGCAGCAAAATAAAAACCTCTGAACCTGTTTTGACACTGTGTAGGCTCTGTGGATGACACGCCAACCCAGTGAGTCTCATTTAAATGCAAATGTGTCACAAACTTCTGCATCAAAATCCTTTTTAAATATATAAGATGCCTGGAAGAACAATCTAGGCAGGATTGACATGCACATTCAAACTTTAAGGAAGATTATGAAAATAAAACCATCTTTTTTCTTGTTTTTTTTTTTCTTTCTTTCTTTCTTTTTTTAAGCTGGAAGCTGAAGCTGTGCCTGAAGTGTCTGAAAAATATGAAATTAATTCTGTTCCAACTTTCTTATTCTTTAAGGTAAGAGAAAACGAATTTAAATGAAATGGATTCCGTGTGGGCTCTTAGTGTGCACTTTTATTACTGGACCAGCAGAAACTTGTTAAGAACTTTCACAGTTAACGAACATCTATGTATGTGATCTGGATAGTGGATTCTCAGAAAGTAGACAGAAATTGTTTTTATACCTAATCTTAGTATTTCAGAACTTCCTTAATTGCATTGGGATTCCTATAATGTTTTTATGTTAGCTATCATAGCTTGTATTGGGTCAAAATTGTTTTCAGTGATGTTTTCTGGCTTGGCTATAGTTCTACAACATGGCAAAAAAGACAGGTAAATAATCTTTTGCTAGAAATGACAAGTCTGCATGGGTTGTGTTTGCCTATGATAAAAAAATTAAAAATATTTTAATTCATTAATAACAAATTTTGTTAGCATTAAAAGGAACTAGCTAACAGGATGGTTTAAGTCTAGAGTCTCTGCTGGAAATAAAGATTAGGTAGATGATCAATACACTAATCCATTCTGCATCTGAAAATCTATATTTTATATGGTGATTTTAGTGTTTTTAATTAGAGTACAAATACTGAATTTAGTTTGTTAATATGAGCCTATATTTTGGCTTCCTTAGAATTCTCAGAAAGTTGACAGGTTAGATGGTGCCCATGCCCCGGAGTTGACCAAAAAAGTCCAGCGCCATGCATCTGGCAGTTCCATTTCTGCTGGTTCTAATGACGTTGCAAAAGAAGATCTTGCTGTACGTCTGAAGAAGCTCATCAATGCTGCCCCTTGCATGTTGTTTATGAAAGGGTCTCCAAAAGAGCCTCGCTGCGGTAAGAATTTTCTGAAGTCCTTGTTCAGTGTGACAGTAGTTGCTTTGGGCTAGTTGTCAGATTCACTCAATTTTGGAAACATGCATTGCAACAATGTCTTGCATACCTAGAAACATTCGTAACAGAAGTGTTTTCGTATTGCTTAGATGCAGTTAGAGAGTTGCTGTACCCCTATTTAAATTTGGGAAACGAGTCACAGAAGTCAGGGGTTTTCCAAGGCTTTCCGTATGTATAATGCTGTCCCTCAACTAGGATGCTTTTTTCTGATCTAGCTCAATGTTTAATCATGACATTTTATGCATCGAATTACATGTTAAAAATGTAAAATAGTTTGAAGAGAACTACTCAATTCAGCAACTCGAGGAGCAACAAGAATTGATTAACATCCTGGATTACTGTTGCCATTTGGAAAAACAAAGTACAACTACCCGAACTAGAAAAATTGGAAGACCAGTACCTTGTGTTGCCACTACAGAGGCAACCTCTTCTTCAGCTTAACTCTTCTCATGTTTGCTCATGGTTTAAAGTGATTGGTTTCTAGCTGACTTGAAGCATTGATCTATACTGGAAAAGTACCTAAACAAATGTTCAAAGATAAAATTGTAGTACTGTGAAGCTGCCATCCTTCTGCTCACGCAGGCTTAGGAAACTGCTTTGCAGAACGGATCTTGCAGGGCGTGCTGTTGTGATCTGCAGGAGGTAAACAGAAGGGTACTACTTTGGTGTAGGTTGGAGATTGCTTGGCTGTACAGCCCTCTTGGCAGGGCTTGACTCCCTCTTGGCTCCCTCCTGCCTCAGGGCAGGGCTGGGACATTGTTTTGGCAATTGGCAGCACGAGGCTTTCCACACTGCCTGCTTTGAGCATAAACCCAGCCTGCCTTTTGGGGACGTGCCTCAAACAAGCTGTTATCCTGAGATATGTCTTCTATTGCTAGTCTGCTTCTTACCCACCAGTTTTTTTCCTCTGATACCTTACAGAAGCGAACGTTTAGCTGCTAGTTGCTTTGTTGTTTTCATATACATCTATTCCCAAATGCCCGTATTCCCTCTTGAAAAAACAAGGAGCAAAATGCGATGCGGAAAACCTACCATTCCTCACTTATCTTGAGAGCTTCACTAGAAGTGGGAAGACTGAAAGGAACTTATTCTGGGGATAGAGGCTTAAAGATGATATTCTAGAATTCTAAACTTTGGTGGAGGAGAACCAATGAGAAAATGTTTTGAGTTCTTTTGCCTCCTTTCTCTCCCCAAATTGGTCTAGAGATCAAATACTGCAACTTTCACAATTCCTTTCTCCACAGTAGCTGACGCACTGAGATGACTAAAGTGGGATTCCTTTGCTAAGTGAACACGTATCCTATGAGTCAAATCATATTAACCACATCTCAGGGCCAAAAAGATGAAGGGATTGTAAAGTGTAACAGGAGAATCAGAAAAGAATTAGAAATAGTTAGCTCCTTCCAGGCCAAGCTGCTGGAGACTGACATATGGCATATATTTACAGAAATGGTACAGAGATTTACTGCTCATGAAGTTAAATTGTTGTGGAAAACTTCAGTTGTTTGTGTTTAAGAGCAAATAGTGAAAGTTCAAGTTTCTTTTTTTTGGTCTGCCTGTGCATGAGTTATGTTAAATTACACTCACTTGAAAGATTCCTATATAGGGTCTTAAATGGTTTTTATATCATGGCAGGGATGCATGTGAACTAAATGCATTTACGTTTTGCTGAGGATGAAATGAGGATTCACAGAGCTATTCTGACGCCATCTGGAAAGGGCTCAGAACGTGCAGCCTGGAGGCAGAATGTTGCCTTATGTCTCTGACAGAAGTCTACAAGTGTGTTGTTTGGAAAAGTTGGTATGGTGTGTGGATTTAATGATGTGATACTCAGTTAATTGCCAGATATCCTTGTGGTGTGCTTGCACTGCTTATATTCTAGCCATGAAAGATCTTGTAACAGTGTCAAGTATTAAACTCAGTCAACAAGTTCCAAGTTTAGACATGCCTTTGTAGCTGTCTTTTGCTTTGTATTGGTGTGTATTCAGGAAGTTCCTAAAAGAAACTAAATTGAGAAGAACTGTGTAAACAACAATAATGGAGGAAATAGTGTAGAAGGACATAAAAGAAACTGATTTCACATGACCTATCTGTTTGTTTTAACCCTGAAGGATGCAGATTGTGGTATTACCATGTGCTATTGACATGGGGGAAGGGGTGGATATTAATAAGGAATCCATTGATTTGATGGAGTGAGAATAATGCAGGTTTGACACGTGATTTACAAAATAGCCACTGCTGTTTGTATTATTGTATTTGCTGCGTTGTATCTGTAGACATTGTGTTGTAGGAGAACCATTTATATTAGAGTTTCTGGTAGTAGTTGGGAGACATTAGTAAGTTGGGTCTGTTAAACTTCCTAGAACAGACAAACTTTTTCCACGTGAGAGAATTTAACATTTTGTCAAAGATAATATGCATTCATTATAACAGTAGTAGGAGTATTAAAAATGTAATTAAATAAAAGGAGACATGCCTCTCTAAAGGTGAATGTATTGGTGAATTGTATCTATTTTGATTCAAATAATACCGACTTGCAGTGTTGGCTTGAGCACAGTTGGCAAGTAGTGTGGAACCCTCTTCAGCAGTGTATTATGAGATCTCTCTGTAGTTTATAATTTCTTCATTGGAAAAGTTGATTCAATGTAGTGTAAAGTAAGGTTTGTCTCCTTGGCTATGTTTACTGGCTATTGTATGTGTTAGCTATGCACATTGTATTATTTCAGATTATTTTGGACTCTAATTGTATTCATTTATTTCACTGATACAGTAATATATGTAGTCTGTCATTATCAGTGTAGAATCCAGAGTGGCATTTGTGGTTGTCTGCTTAAGCCACTTAAAACATTTTTTTCACGGTTTAATTATTCTTTGTAATGCATGTATGGTATTTCTTCAGAAATTCAACCTAAATCTTTTGTTATGAGAGTAAAGCTGTTCTGGCACTTTATCCCTAAGCATAACACTTCCAGACTGCTACTGTATCCCTTCAAAATGAAACACAACCAATCAATCTTTCTAGTTTGCATATAATTGCCTACAGCTAAAATAAAGCTTTTTTTTTTTTCCCCCCCAGTCTCTTACAGTAGAAATGAGTTACTATATTGGCAATGGAATAACCATCAGCAATCAGCCTTTAGCTGTTTACTAATGAACTCCCAGGTGTATGAAAAATTTCAGAATCTGTGTTTTACTCCAGGCTGTACATGAACTTAACACTTCAGTTGTAGAAAGAAAAGCAACTCAGATGCCATACATATAAATACTACTACTTCATATCTCAATAAATTGCAGATCATGAAAACTGCAGAAAGCTGTAGTAAAAATCTGTATTTCAAAAACTAGTAGGTGATCTTGCAAGCTGAAATCAAAGGTTATTCTTGTATGGCACTGATTCTTTTTTTCCCCACTTCAAAATTCTTTTTTCATTTCTTTATTAAAGCCTTTAAGCATTTTTTATATATATTTGTGTAGAGGTTTTTATTTGTCTGCACAGCACTTGTTGGAATTCTTTTAGGATGTTGGAAGGGTTGCAAGATTATGTGAATCCAGAACAGAATGAGTTGGCAAAACATAAAACGCACATTATTTTCGCATTGATCTATGGGTAAATTGTCATGGATCACTTTTGCAAATCATGTAGTGTTATCTAGGAGGCTTTTTTGCTCAGAAGGGATGTGCATGAAAGCAGCAGTGGCAGGTGTTAAAATACTTCAAGGTAAAGACTGCATGTTAGAAATGAAGCAAAACTTCAGAATGTTTCAGTGTGTTGCTACATATTTAGCAGTTTTTCCTGATTAGCATTGTTTTCATAGCAGGGTGGATAAGCTGTGGGGGAACAGTGGAGTTGCAAATCAAGATTTGATCATCAGTCCTAAAGATCAACTCCTTGGCTTCCTTGTGTTGTAAAGTACAGCAGACCTTCACATCTGTTCCTTTATGGAGTAACTCTCTGCAGTCTACTCTGGAACATCTAGCGAGCTCTGTCCTCTCCAGAGGAGCACTTGCGATGCTGTCCATGGAAGCTGCTAAGTGGAGGAAGGTGACTTTGGATGTCAAAGTCTGATGTTGCTTTTCAGGTTACCCCATAAAGAATGGGGGTGTTGGCATGAAGGATACAGCCTATGTGTGTTTGGCTTGTTTAGAAGAGTTTCTGTAGGGATTTTTTTTTTAAAATAAAATAAGAAATAAATTGGATTTAAAAAAGGTTGGATTTCAGGTTTCACTTTTAATGAGTGAGAATGGTGCATTTAAAATAGAGAAGAAGGAGAATTGTTCAGAAAATAAAATTTTGTATGAATTTCCCTTTAGCGGAAGAAGATTTATGTGTTCCTAGACTGCAAATTTTGTAGTATCCCAATCTTCATACATACAACTTTTTACATCATAACTAAGCACTTTTTTCTAAGAAAACTATAATATTATGTTACAGGAGGGAAAAACTCCTTTCCAAGTCTGGCTACATAATAGATTTATAAAATATGGATGTTTACATTCTAACTTTCACTTACTTTCCTGATGAGAAATTATTGTCAGAATAGGACATAATCAAAGTAGGTTACAAAAGGAAAACAAAATTCTAGTACATGAGTGTCGTTATGGTAGTCAAATTACATTGTTTACTCATGAAAGTAAACATTGAAGAAAAAGGAATCTGTCTTCTGTTGTGAAGTAGAAAGGAGATGCTCTTGAAGCAGAGGTAATAAAGAAAAAAGGTAAAAGCTAAGTTTCTAAGTTGAATCATTGGCATGGTAGTGGGTTTGAATCATAGTTCCTGCTTTGTGTCAACTTCATCCGCTTTTGGTGTGGAAGAAGGTTATTAACTGGAGGAAGAAATGACAGTCAGAGAAAACGATGTGCAAGTCACTGTGGAGGAAGTGAAAGAAGGCTACTGAAGATACTGTTAAGGTCATTGAGGAGCTTTTCTTTATGAATGGAGAAGAGTTGGCAAGAGAAAGAATAAGGGAATGCGTTGAATTTTGCCTTAACTGTATGTTGGATCAACAGGGAAGTACATGAAGATTACTTACTGTGTAGTGCTCTATGTAGAGAAGCTCTAGACTTACCAAACTATTCAATTACTTAGGTTTTATAAGCCTAGTAATAAACCAGGTTTATTTTTTGCCTCTTTATAATATTTGGGGATATTAACACAACAAAGAATAATACACTAGAGCTGTTGGTGGGAAGTTATTTCCTGAAAGATTTGCATTTTTTAATGAGTAAAGTTTAATACAGACATGGGAACGCTTTGTTTAAAACTATATGTAATTCCTCTTTTTACATTTGCAGGCTTCAGCAAACAAATGGTGGAGATACTGAACAAACATGGTATTTCATTTAGCAGTTTTGATATTTTTTCTGATGAAGAAGTTCGTCAGGGGCTGAAAACGTATTCTAATTGGCCAACTTATCCACAGTTATACGTAGCTGGAGAGCTTATAGGTGGACTGGATATTGTCAAGGTTGGAAATTGAGAAATTTCTTAATCTTGCTAGTTACCAGATGAGTGTTTTTCTTTTTCATATCTGATTTTCTTTTTTTCCTCCCTGTAATCTCCCTAGGAACTCGAGGCTTCTGGAGAACTGGACACAGTCTGTCCGAAGGCACACAAGCTGGACGACAAGTATGACCTATTATATCTTTATTTTGAGGGGATTCATTTTTGAGGTTTCCTCCCTATTCATTTATATATGGCAATCTGCTATATAAATTCCTTTTCTCTGACTTTATCAGAAGTAAACTAAGACTTTTCTTTAACTACAGACCTTCTACAGTCTTTTTTTCAAGTTGTTTAATATATTCTGTTTTCTATACAGTAAGCATCTCTTATATAAAGTATTAGTCTATACTGTTCTAATAAGCTTTGCTTATTTTTTTTAGTTAATTTTAAATTATAAAAATATATGAATTTCTTGTTTCATTTTTAAGAACTTATTTTTAAAGGTAACTCAGAAAACTCTCTCTTCTAAACTCACTAGTAGCTTTTGTTAGCTTTATTTGACACACACTTACCTTCACAACTATGACATCGGCGTAGACAAAATATCTAGGCTTGCCTCCCCATTTTTCTTGATTACCCATGTCCTTCAGTTGCTGTTTTCTTTCACTTTGACAATATGAATGCATGCCGCATCAATAGGAAGCGTGTTGCCTCCTGAGTCGGAGGTAATATCTAGAAGCCAATTTGTCCTCCTTTAACCTTCCCATTTGAAGATACGCTGCTGTTTGAAATTCTGCCATACCTCAGGCAGACAAGCTCCAGATATGTGACACATCATTGTTAGAGAAGTTGCTAGTATATGGCAGCATTTTTCTCTAGCTTTTGTGTGAATAGTGCCATTGAGACATGCAAAGGAAGGCTGATTTGCAAGAAGTAGGCCTGTGCCTTGAAGGCAAATACGTTAGCATAGATTTCCCACTTGCTGTCTGAGGATGGTGAGCATAAGAGTCTTGCTGAGCTCTAGAGGTGACTGGTTCTGGTCCTTTTGCCTTGATAAAGCACAGCTGAGAAATAAAGCAAGCTGTCTCTGTATGGTAATGAACTAGACTTACTTTCACAGGTGCATAATGCCTTTTAATTTGCTCTATCCTTGAGGTTCACATGTTGTTACTCTTGAAGGATCAGTTGCTACTCTGGTAGGGTAACTAGTAAATTGTTTCACTGAGATCACAAAAAACAATCACTTACTACCTTCTGCAGCTTAATTGAAGTTAAATTATACTTAAAGATGGGATTGTCTCAGTCTATGTCCTTTTTTAAACTTTTAGAAAGCTTCTCTTGGTCTCTCCTCCTTTTGGCAAACTTGCAAAGCATATAACTTCATTGAGTTTGTACGTAGTTTTTTGTTTTGCTTGGTCTTTTTGGGCAAGAGACGGTAACGTGAAATGTCTTCCACTTACCTAATGTGTTTAATAGAATAAAGTTGTTGGTATAGCTCCATGTCTCTCTAGAGAAGCAGCAGCATCTTCTGAACAGGTGTGAAGTTTTCCCAAATTTTGATGTAGAAAATTCACTGGCAAGTCACAAGCTGCTCCTTGTTGCATAGTTTGTTATTCATCTCTTAGATGTATTTGTTTCTCAGGTTAATGCATAGCATTTTGCTGAGGTCTGTCTTTTGTTTTCTGGTGACAACTGGGAAGTGTTTTTCTACAGCACTAATTAGTTTTTCTTTGTACTTACCCTTGTATGCAGTTTCTGGGCAACTAGCTCTCTTCCTAACTGTATTCACTCTATCAGGATATTCACTCATTTAAAAAATAAACAAAAACTGTGGGTTGTTTGAACATGTTAAGACTTAATAAAAGGAAGGAATATCAGTAGTATAACCTATTTAATGCTAAATTCTGTTCCTTTACTCAATGTTTGATCTCTTCCTGTCAGTGAACTGTGTCTGCTTAATTGAAAATCTCCTGGAAAATGAACTCTGCAAATAAGCTTGATTTCACCAAACAGATTTGCTGGCAGCTGGGGAACTGGTCTCCTGTGGCTCACCTTTTGGTGTAATTGTTAGTTTTACCGTTGCTTTTTCCCTTAGCAGCAACTTGGTTGGAAAGAATGGCTTTGTTTGTAGGTTTACACAAGCACAGGCTGTAGGTCACCAACAAAACTTCATTTCAGTTTTATTTTGCAAAGAGCCTGGATTCTCCAGTTTAGAATCATTTTGCATTGTGCGAGTAGTGCAAAGTGACCTTTTATAGAAAATTACCACCTGCCATACACTTTTTAAAAGATAATTTGCCTTTTGCAGGAAACTGTTGGGCAGGAGGCTTTGCTGACTTTTTCCGTCAGTCCCAGCAAACCTTTCCTATAAGGAGAGGGGAGAGAAAAGAAGTGTCTGAGGTGTTATGTGGGTGGACCAAGGATAGGCCAGAAAAAGACAGGGCATGATGAAGCAAAGTGGACCTGTTCCTGAATATCAGTAGTGCCTGGTCCTTTGTGATCTTATAGCTGCTATCCATCAGTCATGATTATTGCTCTATAAAATTCTAACTATTCAATATGTGAAAAATGATGTGTGCTATGTAGTGATATGTGACTGAATATAGATATTGTCTTAAAAATACCCTGAAATGTTCTTCCTTAAATTTATTGCTGCTTGATATTTACAGGTCAACCTACAGGAACTTACAACTTACTTTTACTTACAGGAAAAGTAAATTTTTGCTCTAAAAGTAACAAAGGTTGTTTATGATAAGTGTAGTGAATGAAATTGAACGATATAAATGAATACATTTGGTTATAGTACTGCTTTAAATTAATTTGGTAAACATGTAAGTTATCTTTTTACTTTTTGCATTTTTTTTCCCTGTTGAAGCATAGGATAATAATTGAGCTGTTCTATGTCTTCCTTTTTCCTACCTCCTGTAGGCTTAAAACTTTGATAAACAAAGCTCCTGTGATGCTTTTTATGAAGGGGAATAAACAGGTAAGGGTTAAAAAATTGTTTGACTAGAAGTGAGTAGAACTGCTGCTCTTCATCATTTAGTGACAGTTATCTTTTCCTTTGTTAATGAAAATTAGTAGTTCTAAGAAGTTATTTACATTTTTTATTTGATGCTTCTATAAGTCATAGAAGAACAGTCCATATTTTTCCTAATTGAAATGTATTGCTGAACTACTGATAGCAGTGTTATAGTACTGGCATCAAATTCCCTGATTTCAGTGACCACTGTCAACTTGATCTACAGTTCTGGTGCAAATGTAAAAACAGTGCATATCCTTTTGGTCTTGGTCATTGATGGTCTTTGCAGATAATGAATTTTCTTTGGATGTTCTGAATGCTTGCTCCTAAAGTCTACCATGCTTGAGGTGTACTCTTTGACTATTACCCAACATGTTAATTCCATATTTTTTGGAATTTCCCTCGACGACCTAGTTGGATTGAGTGTCCTATACTTTTTAACTTTTTTGACTTTATTATGCTTGCGCAATTGCATTTAAAAAAAAAAAAAACTGCTAGATGTTTTCAAGGCTGATGTATAATGCCACATGCCATAAATGATCCACTCCTCTTGCATGCATGGAGTGGTCAGTACCTGGTGTCTTTTCATGCTGCAATTAATTATCTTTCACACTGAAATAAAGCTAGTGGCCTAAGAGAGATGACTGTTTACAATTAGGATTAAAATAGTGGCAGAGTGGCAAATGACTGTAAACCAAAAGGTCATCCTATTTATTTGTGTTGCATGCTTATGCAAGGTAAGCAGGGGATAAGCTCTTCTCTTTTGAACAGCAAGGCAGTGCAATTCCTCCTGCCAAAGTTACCTGAACGACACCCAATTCACCTTAAGCTTTTCATTGGAGTGATGTACCCTAAGCAGTAACTGTATCTAGTGATCAGATTTTGAGACGTTCATACAATGTTTTTTTTAGAAGGGATACAGAAGTAGGAGACTGAGCTCATTCATGGTATTTCTTTCCATTTCATTTTCTCATTCGTTCCCTGAGTCCTCTCTGTGCATTAACAGAAGATACTTGTGAGAGTGTTACAGGCTGTTTTACTAAGCTGTTTCATAAACGCTGGAACCTTGTGGGTTATGCTGCCTTGCTGAAGCAATGGTGGCTCGCTAGTTGTACTTAGGTTTTTAAAACCGCTAGAAGTGCATCTGCTTAGAAGGCTAGTATCTTGCCTGAAGAAAGCAGAGTCTGGGAAAGTTGCTTAATGCATGTTTTGGTTTTGCCCGAGTTACCAGTGGAGTTAAATCCCCAAGAAGAAAAGGTAGTTTGGATTAAATATACAATACCCATCATTTTCTAGACGTTCAGTGTTGCTATACTGCTACTATGGAAAGAGTTCACAGTAGATAATTGAAATTAATAATTGAGAGTAGAAGTTGCTGTACATGCACACAATTTTCAGTGGACTGTAGGAAGCTGCTCTCTCCAAAACGTTAAGTAATGGGTGGAGTATGTTCCGAATAAATCGTATCTTTTTTACAAATGTATATTAGGCATTTGTATTGAACCTACCTATAGCTTTGGCTTTTTGAATGTTTGGAAAATAATGAAGCCTGATTAGTTTTAAAGATAATATTGCCAAACCTGGAAAACAGATGCACCTTGTATCACTTCACCACAACTGAAGTAATAGTGATTATCACTCTTAATACTTACTTTTACTTTAGCAAAGCACTGAAAGAAAGAACTGTTCAGTAGTGCTTGAAGCTCAAAGCGTGAAGTATAAGGAAGAGTGAAAAAGGGATTAGCAGTAATGCTCATCTAGTAAGAATGTTTTTAGCAAAAACTGATGTTAGCTGTAGCATAATTTGAAGACCTGGAATTTTGTAGATTTAAACAACTAAATTTAGCAAAAATATGTTTTAACCGGTGTTTTTCTGCATTTTTAGATGGCAAAATGTGGCTTCAGCAAGCAAATTATAGAAATCCTAAATAGTACTGGGTATGTAAGCTTTATTTAATTTAGGAAGCTATTTCTGTTTTAAAAACTGCAGTTTGTAAATAGCAAGCATTTGGAAAATATTTGTGACAGCCTTTACAAAAGAATCCTTTTCTTTACTTGAAAGTATTTTAAACTATCCCTATGTAGAAACCAATAGTGTAAATCCCTGCTACATTTGCTTGGATACCAAGTTGAAATGTGTCAGATGTTATGCTGCTTAAATACTCGTGAAAAATCACTACTTCATAGTGATTGTCTTGCTCTGATTTAACATTGTGTGCTAGGAGGTTATTGCAACAGTGGATTTCTTCTTTTTGCTGTGATTGTTGACTGTAAAGGAAAAAAAACACTCTTCTCTGAGAAAGTAACTCATCTTAGAGGCCCCCCTGATCTTTTCCTTATCTTCTCGTCTTATCCAGACTCGGTTTTTCTCTTCAAAGCAACTCTTTCTGTAGTGAGAGATTAACGTTGTCTTCCTTTGAATGAACACATGTTTTATGTGGACCGCTAGTTAGAGGTTAAGTGGTTGTCTTGATTACTAGACCTTAGAAGGAGCTCTTGAGATAATAGCCAAGTAGAGCAGAGCTGTGCATATCAATGTGTATATCAATTCAGAACTAAACAGTAGTTATTCAAATCGCTATCATTGGCCCTAGTGCACCTACTGGGATCCATGTACTTCCTGGTTATTAAAGAGTGCCAGTACTGGGAGTACTAGGAATTGCACACCAAAACTCATATATGAGTCAGCCAGAACTCAGATTTACGCTGGCATGATATTTTGGTGTCTTTATGCAAGTAATATATCAAGAAATAGCTGCAGCTGTTGGACCTCTCAATAAAAACTTCCAGAGTTTTTTAAAGCTATTTAGTGAACACAATTATTTTGAACACATCTTTTACAATAAGATCCAAAGGTATTCAGCTCCATTTTTAGCACAGCGTGGTGTCATCTGTGCGTTATAAGGAGTTTCCCATGAATCTAGACATCTTTTACTTTAGTTTTTGGTGCTTAAGTAGCTGACTTTTTTTTTTTCCCCTCTTTGTTTCTTAGTATATGTTAATTATATCCTGGATGATTTGGAAGCTAGCTTTGTAAACATAAATGTTACGAAATTTTGTGGGTCTTGCATTGCAAAAGTCCATAGTAGATCACTTTTTTTTTCTTTCTAGTGTTGATTATGAAACGTTTGACATATTGGAGGATGAAGAGGTAACTGTCTTTCCTACATTGTGGATTTCATTGTTACTTTTACTAAAGCAGAAGTTTACATTTAAGATTTTTTCTTAGGTGCGGCAAGGACTAAAAACCTATTCAAACTGGCCAACGTATCCTCAGTTATATGTAAAGGGTGAACTTGTTGGAGGGTTGGATATTGTTAAGGTAAGACGGGGAGAATTTTGTTTGACATGTAAATAGGCCATTTGTTGAGAACTGTAAAAATGTTTTTCTGACTATAATATACAAGAATTCCTGTGTAGTGGCCTGAGATTTTGAAGTCGAATGACTTGATTGCTTTTACTGTGACTTCCATTATCTCAACATATGGTTGAAAGGAGCTTTAAATCTCTAGCGTTCCTATACGCTACAATGTAGCAGTGAAATGTATTTTCTTGACACCAGTCAGTTACCTTTACTGTAAAGACCATTTTTACCCCGTGGGTGCATTTTTACAGGTTTTTCTTGCTTCTTAGTTTTACTTTTGACATTGCTTTTCTGAAATAAGGTGGGGGAGACGTTTTTTCCTAGCAAACAGTCTCATTCCTGGAAAAAGTAAGGTTTATTGTAGTTGTTTGAACAGACCCTGAAGCAACAAAAATAGATCTGCATCTGTTACTGTGGTTTTTGATTTTTGTAACAGAGCAGGCACAGTGTTCTAAACTCCAAATACTCCTGAGCCTATTCTTGTCTGAATGGTTTATAGCCAATTCCTCAGACGTTGTAACTCTTGGGAAGATACAATCAATAAATCTCATTTAGCTCTAAAAATACTGGTATTACTTAAATTATATAGATTACTTTAATTTTATTTATTTAACAAGTGTGTGGGTTATTTCAGTGATCAGTAAGTGTAGTCCTGGGCATTGCAGAGATGCTGCAAAATACTTTCCTTTCTGCTATTTAAATACAAATTTTCTATTTGCGTTGTTAATAGTGTTCAGTTCACACTGACTAATTTGTATGGGTAGATGAATGTTGTCAGTATTTTAAAATACATTCCATAATGTAGCATAATATGAAATAAAATTGAGACAGAATATCAGCAGTTTTTTTTTAAGATAACATGTTGTGGAATATAGAATTATTTCTCTTGAGATGTAGGAAAATAACATATCTGTTTAATAAGTCAAAAGCTATATAATTTGCATTAAACTATCAAGATAATGCAAGCAAATATTTCTTATTTATAACTTCTGAATCTGTCTCGTTTGTTTTAATGTATGGTAGGAACAAATTCTATCAATGGATGTCACTTTTTCATTTTGGGGGCGGCATTTTGAATGTTGTAAAATGTTGTGTGTACCTGCAAAATATATCTGAAAGGGGAAATAATTTACCTCATAAAGTAGTAACGTGGCGTTCCCCTCAGGAGGAGGGAAGAGGGGCATATCCCCCCCCCCCATACATACACACAAAGAAAATCCTCTTTTGCTAAATGGATATAAAATAGAATTTAAATACCGTATTATGAATGTTAAATAGTCTTGGTTGAGAGGGACCTCTAGTGGGTCATTTAGTTCATCCCTTTAATAGCCAGTGAATTATTTTCTTATACATGAACCGTCTCTATTGAAATCTTGTTAGTGTAATCACAAAATATACATAGAGAATTATTATTTTTTTATATATTTCTTCACAGGAACTAAAGGAAAATGGTGAACTGTTGCCTATTCTGAAGGGAGAGAATTAATGCAAAAGGACATCAATGGGAACTGAAATACTTGGAAAAATTATTCGTGTATAGATTATACTGGAGCAATCCCTGACTTAGCCCCGTGGAACCAATCAGAAGTAAATGAAGGTTCCTTACTGGCTCTGTATATTTCACAAGAACATGCTACTTACGAAAACACATGTTTTCACTGAAGATATGAAATTGTCAACATCTTCAAATTCAATTAAAATGTAATGCTGAAAAAGTTTGGAGTTTTTATTATACTCTTTGTACATATTCATTGTATCTAGACATTTAACAGTGGAATAATGACTCCACTGTGCAGCGCACAACCACAGGACTAAATTGTATCTGGTTTTGGACTCAGCTTCCATTAGGAGAATATTAATGGGAATACCTCCGTAGTATGGAACATAATAATTTTCTGTGTCTCAGCTAATAATTGTTTTCATGTCTAGCGAGCAAGAATAACGCTACTGATAGTGCACCTAGTATTCCTAGTGCACCATTAGGAGTTTGTTGTTAATAAGTTTCAGCTGTGTACTTTGCATCTTTGTTATCTTAAGTATGTACAGTAACTTCAGGAGTTCAGCCTATTTAAACGTAGCTTTTTGGTTATATTTAGATTACAATGGAAATGAGCCAATAAACGCAATGATTAGGCCAGTCTTCTAGTATATCATCAATGTTACTTCAGTTAGAAGGAAGTGTTTACTTTCTGGACTGTGACTTCTGCAGTTTATACGATTGTGTTAATATATGGATCCTTTGCCTCTGTATTCAGAGGATCTAATTTGTTTTTTAATCCTTCTTTCAATACCTGTAATACTTTATATATTTCTACCACTCAAACTTTAGTAGTTGGAATAGAGTCTAGTAATAGGTTGACCATCAAACCAGCAACAGCACATGTATACTTGCAAACATATACCCTATGTTTTATCTTTGGAGAAATAAAACACAGTTGCATCAAAATGCAGCACAGTCCTTATCATCTGCAGTGCTCAGCTGGAGAGGACCATTTCCTCAAAAGAAATAATGTTTGCTTGTAGTCATTTGAGTTCTTAGTCTCTGTGCTGAGGTATTTATTTTGGAGGCAGTTTTTGTCTGTTTATGAAATATGAAGATATTTCTAGTTAATTACATGTAGACTGCTGTGTATGAGAGCCATGCTATTGACTTCTAGCTGAGACATGCCGGTTTAAAATACTTTAAGTGCATTGGCTATAGTCAATGAAAAGGACAAGGATGTCGTATTCTTGGTCTAGAACCTGAAGCGGAGTAAGCTCCATTTATGAAGCCCAGAAAACAAAACTGTGGTGAGCAGAGAAGTGCCCAGCCCTTGCCAATAATAAATTTTGAGCCAGAGTTGTTGCTCAAAGCTTGTGCCGTGCTGATGTTTGTGTTACTTGGGCTTGCAGAGAAACACCAGTGTCTACCTGGGAATCTTGGCTAGAATCTTCCCTGGAGAGTTGCTCCCCTCTCAGGAGGGGTCAGGTCTGAACATGTGCTCTTTAAAATATGACAAGAAGAGATGTCTAATGAGTTATGTGCTGTGAGGTTCTAGGCAGCAGCTGAGAAGGAAGGTTTTGGAGTTAAGTTTGGGCTTTGTTGCTTGAATCCTACCTATGTATATAGGAACCTGAAGCAAAACTGTCATTGGACTTAGTTCATAACTGGTAATGGTTGACTACAAAGCAAAAGGTGTTTATACATAATACAAAAGTCTTAAGATACTTAATTCAATCCAAGTGTTAATTTTCTAGGAATAATTTTGGTAATTGTTTTAAAATCATATATATTATAATTTAAAAACAATTTTAATCTGATCATAAAAAATCTTGTCCCTGTCATGAAAACAAGCCTTAATTGATCTCTCAAAGTGAATTGCAAATGCATCCAGGCAGCTGTCAGTAGTAATCATAACCTACTTTGTTTTTAAAAAAAAAAAAAAAGTATACCAAAAAATTGAATCACTGTGGTCAAATTAGGAGTTAGAAGCTTTTAATTAAGCAAGTACAAAATGTTGCTTCTTCTGCAATAGTGTTTAAAAAAAAAAATCAGAATTCACTATAGTAGAATTTAACTATGCCAGGTTTAGAGTCTACACAGAGTACTTACAGAAGTGTGAAAGACTGCCAATGGATAGCAGTTGTTTCTTTGACAATTTATATTCCATATATTCTGGTGCTACACTATTTATACCAATATGGGAGTCTTACTAAAGTAAAACTACTATGCTACTTTATATACCCTGGACTAATTATTCTTCCTCGGTGATTATTCTTTTAAATTTTTCATGGTGCTAAATTGTGGGTCTCTAACTTGGGGAATTAGCAGCATTTGATATATCTCATAGTTACTCCTTTATCAAAATTCAGTGTAAACTAGCTCTGTATAAGTTAAAGTAATGCTTTGGTGTTTCTTTAGACAAAATAGACTTTCTGGAAACAAGCACTTTAAAAATGGTTAGTTGCAGAAGCAGCTTTGCTAAACAATTTTGTTTCTGGCTATGAGCCCAGTCTATGGCTGGGCTCAGAGTGCCCAGAGGTGGCTGTGCAGCGCAGTGGGATGCGGCTTGGAGGAGGCTGCTGCAGAACCACAGCTGCACACACGGGAACTGGAATATCGCATTCCAGCAGTTTAATGGTATCAATGAGGTGTCATACCTGAATTTTGTGCTAATACTGTTAAAATGCTTTTGAAAATGCTAGTATTTCTGCATAGGGTTTGCACTTTTGCATGGCGTCGGTACACCCCTACAGTTGTGTCATTTAATAATTTGTTCCAAATATGTGGAGACTTTAATATCCCGTAACTAATTTTGGTTAGGATTTTTTGTGTGTCTAAAGAGCTGTGCAACTGTTAAGCTCTAACACTTATTCTTCGTAAAGGGAAGAATCTGTTGGTGGAGGCTGCCTCTTTGTGGTAGAAAACTGTACATTACTCAAGTGCAGTTGGCCTACAATCCCTTGATACTGCAAAAAAAAAAAAAAAAAAAAAGTAGTGAAGTCTGCAACTGTATAAAATGTACTTGAAAACAATTTCAGCCTTATGGCTGAAACCTTACTTCAAGGGAATACTGAGGATAGGTGTTGCTAGTGAACAACTTCTGCCTTCAGGGATAACTGAAGCCCTCTTGTGGAAATAAATTGTCCTTCTGTCATTGGAATAGACTGTTTCTATTAAAATTTTGGCTTTACATAGAATGAAAAAGACAATGGTCATGTAGTTTATCTTCATTTGTAATGAGAGGAAGATGATTTAGTTACATTCAATGAAAGATGAAGTAGCAGGGGGTAAGAAATGCTGAGAAAACTTACACCGTTCACTTCCATAAACAGGGTGTTGCTTCTTATTTCAGCTTTCTGCATGCATGCTCATTCACAGTTGTTGTCTTCTACAAATAAATATGTTTTCTTGGTAATGTTCTCAAGTCACTTCTGTTAGCTCTTAATAGAAAACTACAGACCAAGTTGCGTAACTGTTTTTTGTAACATTCATTTATTGGAATGCATTAAGCTCTACAGTTTATGTGGTGTTTCCAGACCTCTAAAACTGAACATGGTCAGGCCTAGTTAGCACTGAGCTGGGAGACATCCAAAGAAAAATCCATGTATTGCATGGAAGGGAAGAAGGCAATAAAGAATTGGAACTATAAGACTCCCAGGTGAAATATTAAGTGAGGTCTTGAACTTTAATGGCTACTCGAGATCCTGTATTACTTTTTACAAAAGGAGAAGCATTTGGCATTAGTATTTGTGTGCAGTCAACACTACTTAACATACCCTTATTTGTATTTTCTCTCTCTCTGCCTTGTCTGTCCCCAAGATTTCAGTTAGATTATTCTTTTCCTTTCATATTAGGGTATAAGGAAAACTATTTTTACTGTTAGGGAGATGAAACACTGGAAATGGCTGCCTAGAGAGGTGGTGGAATCTCCATCCTTGGAGGTGTTCAAGACTCGGCCAAACGTCTGGGCAACCTAATCTAAATGGATCTCCTTTCAAGCAAGGAGTTGGACTAGATGACCTCCAGAGGTCCCTTCTGACCTAAATTATTCTATAATTTTAAAATAGACCGAAGTGTTAAAGCGCACCTATGGCTTACTTCAAGTGGCCAAAATGTGAACCCTCTAAGGAGTCATAGCCCTTCTGGAGTGATAAATTCCTATATGATAATGATATTAGCTTTATATATATAAACTTTACATAACTACAGAACTTCATTTTCCCTAGTCACTCCCTCTATACTGAAACAAGAAGTACTTAAGGATTACTGAAAACACTATGAAGTATTCAGTTCTTTAAAGGCAAGTGCTATATAACTGAGATAAGTAATGCAATATAGTTTTTGAATTAAAAATTATTAATATGTATATATGTGAATACTAGTTAAAGGCTTCTGATAGTCCAATGAGGAAAAAGGAGAAATTTGATGCAGTCAATTTTAATTAGGGGACTATTTCATGCATGATAATTTGTAACATAGAGTATCTTGTTTGACAGTACTGAGAAGTGGAGAAAACTAGTGATTTTTTTCCCTCCTCAAGCTCTAGTTCCAGGCAGCCAGTTCAGATCAAGCTACTGACCTATTCAAAGACCAATCAATAAATATGTCTTTAAAGAGCCAGTCTTTAGCTCATTTCTGACTATTACTTTCCTCGTTTCCCTGATTTAACTGCAGTCTGCTCTGTTGCAACATGAATAAATAGCATAATGACTTTTGTCAAACTCCATTCAGTGGAAATAACTGTCTTTTTTTCTTGATCACGATAATTTCATCTATACTGATGCTTATAGTCACTGAATAGAGCCTCTTTCTAAAACAGGGAAACGCTGTGAAGTGTGTTAACAAAATTAGGGAGGGAGGAGATAGACGTCGGTAAAGTCCTCACCTCTTCACAGAAAACCTTAACCTTTCCCCTTCCCACCATTTACCTCAGAGTCTAAAAGTTCTTCTGTAATGCCTCTTAAGTGCTTTTTTCTTGAAGATGCAAAGGATTTTAGAAGACAAAGCACAGTCTATGTTTGGTAGAACCAAGAACAAACTTTACCGAAATCTACAGTATGGCATTCAGCCGCTTCATATCGCCAGTGATGGAATTGAGAAATAATGTGTTTGTCCTCTTAGAGGGAAAAATAAGAGTTAGAGGGGATATTTAGTTGTAGTGTTTTTCTCTTTGTCATAGTGAGGAGGAAAAAAAAAAAAAAACAAAAGCATTTCCTCCAGTACAAGAGCAGTCATACCATGGAATCGTAACCAATATTTCTACTGACATTGTTGCTCATCAGCATAAAGATTTAACGACATAAAGGGGTTCCCAGTGTGCACTGTAGAATGAAAATACCTTATTTCTGTATATTTAAAGACTTTAGATCTAACAGGACAGAAATGAGAGCACTTCGGCCAGACCATGAACACAGACACAACTTTTAGCTACTGACAGCCCTTAATAGGGAGCAATGTGTTCTGACGCATGAAATTCTGGCTTAGGCCTTATTAAAGCAAAGGGGGATGTGAGGGGCCACTGTCAATAGTGGTATGGCACATAGCCTATCACAAATAGCTCTAGAAAAACAGTATGTAGGACAGGTTATGATATGCTCTGTAAGGCTTTTTGAGTATTCAGCGTAACCTGGACTAGCTAGCATAACCAGGGCTAGCTGCCCTGACAGGCAGTTCGGGATTAGCAGTGACTCCTTCTCTTTGGGTTATGGGCCAGTACTGAGATGGAGAGCCATCTTCAAGCTAGTTATTCAGGTGAACTCTGTTTTCAGTAGTATCAAGCAAAGCTGAAGTGTGAGTGAGAGGTAAAGGCATTTCTGATACTTCATTGATCTGAGTAGAGCATAGTGTATTAGGACATTGGTCTCGAGTCTTCAGAGCAGAAAACTGGGTTACTTTTTTTCATAGCCATTTACTTTCTCAAAATATTTCTCCCAGTTACCTGTTTCCCAGCTTATTTCCTACCTTAAGCTGAAATCTGTTTAAGCTCCAATTTTCTACAGAGGATGTGAAGGGATGGGGAAGCACAGACCACAGATTATCTGCAGCCTTTTCTCTTAAGATATAAAAGCACTTCCTCTGAAAGTTGAAGAGGAGGGTGTAACATAAATTCGAATGGTGAAAAGCTGCAGATTGATTGGTTCTTACTGGGTAGGATCTCCTACATGAAAGAGAAAACACGTTTGCAACAGAAGATGCTTTGTACCATGTCCTATATGAACACTCAGCATAAGCTGCAGTAGCTCTAGCTGCACAGTCAGCAATTAAATAGCCTCTGAGCTGGCCCATGATCCCTAAGACAGGCAATATAAGAATCTCTGGACCTGGCTTACTATATGGTGGCACAGAGGCTAAGGCTGACAGCGAGGGGCAAGACCCAGTGTCTGCCAGCCCTGGGGGAAGGAGGAATAGCTCTTCTGCTGCTGCCTGTGCTCAGGTCAAGTTGAAGCAACTGGAACCATGCAGTAAGACCAAGGCTGCTTGCTTGGGTCATGTTGGGATGCTCAAGGGTCTGGTTCATTACCACCTTCACAGTGATCTTTTCCCATACACTGCCATGTCCATGGTAAACGTTTTAACTTGCACAGACACTAGTTTCTTGAGATGAATTTTCAAAAATAGCCACAAACTTTTGCCACACGTTCCTAGTTTTGTGACTTACAAGAGAGTGCCCAATGCATCTTGAGTTAGCATATTCTTTTCCATTCCTTGAGGGCTAATCTCAAGGTGATTACTTAAAATATTAGTAAAATAATAATAAAGCTATTTCAGACATTGTTTCCTCAGTGCTCCAGAAGATAAGTTAGATTACCTATACCTAATAAGAACACTTTCATGTCGTGTGTGTGGATGCTTATTTACTAATATAAGAAACAGTCTGATCAGTATTTTGAAAAGCACAGACTTCATATATAAAACAGTTCTAACTTTGCTGTGTTTTCTTTCCTCAACGTGGAAGAAGAGCTAGATTTTTGCTCATCAGCTGACAGTGCCAGCGGACCTCCGCAAGAGGGTGCTGCGCACCGCAGCAACTGAGGCCGGCCTAAATCCTTCGCATGTGACAACCTGCTTCAACAGCAGGTGTCAGCACAGGAGCACGTATGGGATCGGCAAAAAGCCGTCCTGACAGTGCGCGGCTGATTCGTACCCAGAAGACAGGTCACAAACTTTGCTAACGGATAGCTAATGAGACGGTAAAACGTGCCTGGTGCCTACGCGTTATTTTTTTCTGGAGTTCAACCTCCCCGCTTGCAGCGTGAGGGCTTCCAGCCTCTGCAGAAACGTCTTGTCTGCAGTAACTCCATTTTCAATCACGGGTGCCAGCCGTCACTTGCAGCAGAACAAACACCTCAGGGCATGAATTTCTCAGGAATGAAACCTGTTTCTGTCCGTTAATACAAAGGCCAAACTTGTCACTGGGCTGCTAGATGTGCACAGGGCAGCGCGCGGAGCCCGACTGCCACAGCGACACAGGCTCGCCTCGTGATCAAATTAGAGGCACAGAGTGGCACTTTGCATAACCGCAACAAAATCAGTAATAGCAAACGATGGCCCAGAGGGACCAGATGCGCCATGTTCCAGTGGTGTGCACGTGCTTGTCTGGCACTTTCCTGGTCAGAGAGGACCTGCCTGTTTGTGGGCATGCATGGACTAGCAGTATCCCTCGTCACAGCGTTCTCCAGGAGATATCGACTAAGCCCCTCACCAAAGGGGTCTGGGAATAATGTAAGGGTAGGAGAAAAGTTTGTTAGGTGCTGCAGACACCTTCTGGATTGCTTCTGGGCTTGCACAGCTATGGGTTGTAGTCAGCTCTCCTGTTACAGCTTTTAATGGGTCACCAAAAAGAACAGTAAAATGTACTTCATGTCCTTCACATGCCAACACCTCAGTTTCGGAGCAATGGTTCTGCAGTGTTTTTGCTGTAAACCAGGGCTGGGAAAACAAGATAGGTTTTGTAGGGGCTGCAGTGTTCTGAGAAACCAGATGAAGTCTGC